AACGTGAAGGCAAATCGTTGAAAGCTGAACCCTGTTTAAAGCAAGAATACTTACAGCGTATATTTCCACGACATTTCTTCATTGTGTCCAGGGCTGAATGTTTCAATCCTTTGGAGATCCCCTGACTTGGAAACCTTGGGCCTTGAATATAAAAAGAAAAATATCTATTCAATTTTTATTCACATTTTCAGGAAGAATAGAAGACGGGGAGTGGTCTCTCTTAGGGTATGCGTCGACTCGTCACGTGACCAGTTAAGCCAATAGGGCGGCAGCTTAATTTTTACGATTGAGCCTGATGAATTTTCAAGAGCTGATTACATTCGCTGAGTGTTGTGACAACTGAAAACCGTCATGTAAAAGGAAAGTCACCTATTCTGTCACTTCATTTTAAGTCAAACAGTTGCCATTAGTGTCAGTATTAGTACAGTAGATCTGTAGTAAAAGAATTCAAGTCGGCATATTGTAGCTCCATTCTCAGTACACAGTGAAGAAAGACTATATTCTATCGATAAAACTTCTTTCACATATTCGTTTAATTTTTAGAAGGGAAATATGCCTTTCGTTGAAAGGCGTTTGCAAGTTATAGTGATAGTTTCATAATTTTAAAAAAAAGTTGTTAGGGTTTATTTGAGGTGTGTGAAAATATGGCATATCGCCGAAATGATCTGATCCGCCATTGAAATACTACAGGGCGATGTTTGAGTGTTTCTTGTTATAATTCTTAAACCTTCTTTCAAATACACCTTTATTTTTATGAGGGGAATATACCATCAGGTGAAAGGTGTTTGCAAGTAATAGTGATAGTTTCATATTTTTTAGTTGATCTTAGTATTTGACAAAACTGCTGTCCACTCCTATTTAATTAATGAGCTGACACAGAGTCACTACAGAGTATAATAACAACACACTGATGGTTTATGTTTTTATTTTGAAGATGAAAGTGAAATAGTATTTATAAAATTCAGCATAAACAAAGTATGTAACTGGAGAACAGGATGTTTTATAATAGCTATTTTTCCCATGACTTTTCTCCTATGACTTTTTCCGATCACCCTTCTAGATGGCTACCTGTATGACAAGAACAAAGTGAAATAAGGAATTGATGATGTTCAAGTGACCTTCTAATAAGTGTAATCTGTGCACTGACAAACATGTGATGTAAAATAATATGGTGCTTGGTCTCATATGTTTGATAGGTACATGTATATACATTATTGTTTTTGATAATATTCACAAGTAAATGTGATCTGGTAAATATATGTTAAAGTACATATATATGTTGATGCAACATATCTTAATTTAGAAATCATAATTCATTGCATGAATTGATAAAATCATAGTTAATACCTTATGTTGTATTATTATATCTGAGCACATTATTATCAAGGGTACAGCTTAATTAAGCTTTATGCAACCATCCATAAAATGTGTTGTTTTAAGCTTTCTGTCTTTTGGGAGGCCTGTCTTATGAGAAAATACCGTAAAAACGTCTCAAAGTAGATTTGAAAAATATTTGACAGCTGATGTTAACACATGTGTTCTAGCGATAGTGTTGTGTTCTTTAAAATCTTCTGAGAGGGGTAGCCGGGGTGTATCAGTTGTTCTTTCATTCATTCACATATGTAGTTCTTTCTTTTGTTCTTTTTCTTTATTTCTTTCATTCATTCACGTATAATTCTTGCTCTGAATTCTTGCTATAATTCATTCATTCATTCATTCATTGTATAATTTTGAAGATAATTTAGAAATTGAGAGAAAATTATTATCCCTGATATTTTGCATGATGAAAATTGACACAGTAGTCTAACCGTCACGTTATCATTTCATCCTACCGGGTACCCATTCACTGCTACCACCCACAACTAAGTATCCAATCTACCCGTCAGGTTGAAAGGGACCTCGAATTTCTCTTTTGTCTCTTTTAAGTTGCTCCAGTCATCCTTCTGGAAACAGACCCTATCTGAAACTTCTCAAACGATCAAGCATGCCACATTTTCAAAACACTCCAGATAACTTTGACAGTATATTGCTACCACATAATTCCTACAAATATTCTCATAACCGTATAGACTGCCACATAAATTATATTTTGCTGCATTAAAATGGTAAATGCCAGTATTTGATGAGTTCATACAAATCTTGTGGTGGTAGGGTAGCCCAGTTGTTAAAGCGTTTGCTCGTCACGCCGAAGGCCTGGGTTCGATTCCCTACATCGATACGTTAAACCAAACACGACATCAAAGTGATCGCGTACTCTGTCAGGATAGACTTGTCGAGGCTCAGAGGTTCTGAGGATGTGCTGCGAGCACTTCAGTTGTCATGTATATTAAGTGAAATATGTCTATGTGTATATAAAATTTGTGTCAACCAAACAAGGCATCGCTATATGTTGAGGACATAGGACAAAACTGGCAACCATGTGGTCATTATTCTTCCTCTGGAACTGTTAAGAGTTGTCCACAGGAAGTCAGTACTGGAGTGAGTGAGTTTAGTTTTATACCAGCAATATACCAGTTATATGGCGGTCTCTATTGGAAAAGAGAACCTGGAAAATAATTAGATGAGGAAGATCGTCAAAGGCCACGACTGAGTGAAATGTTGATAAAATATATATATGATATGATGAAATGAATGATCGACACCTCAACACGGGTTACATAACCACCTCAATAAGCACATCTCATCAGAGTGGTGGATTTACCTCGCTAATGGCAAATTAATGTCAAATGCCGAGTCTACTGCGTGCACGTCAAGGAATATGTCGTGGAAGCCTCATTATGCTGTTCTATCAGGACAGTGTGCCTGTTCACGTCGACATGTTGCAATGCAATATGATTGTAAATGTAGTGGACATCTTCCATTTCACCAGCTTTGAACTGTCAGGTTTCAATCTCTTTCCAAACTTAGGGAAAGAACTGTCATCATCATGCAAACTAACAATGACGTCATCTCTTCAGTGGCAGACTTCATACCACCAAGAGCTAGCCTTGTGCAACCATACTCTCTATCACAGTCAGCATGAGAAGTTTTCAGCCACCTTCAATGGCTACAATATTGTCGATATGTCTTTCAGTTTTAAGTCAATGCAATAGCAGAATTCCATGGTCCCTAGTGTGATGATCTACCTTCAGGTGTTGGTGATCTATAGCCTGATCTGATTTTATGATAGCATACTAGTTTTAAATTTATATCTGTGATAATCTAGTATTTTCACTGTCCTTCGATGACAGGCTTTGCGTTCTAAATTTATGTATAATTTTTTCTCGTCACAGTATGGCTGAAATATTGCCGATGTCACGCTAAATTTTAACTCATTCAGTCAATAGTAGAATTTGCCTGTAGAAGTAGGTATTCAATAGTTAATGAAATTCTACTATAGGCTTCTTTTATGCCAGCATACTTAGAAATATTGGTCTGAGAGTGTCGTTAGATACCCTCGTTGGATTTAGGGAAAGAACTGTCTGGCATCATTACAATTTGCAATACAATACAATTTTGGAGTGGTAGGATTTTGCAATATGAGGGGAGTATGAGGGAATATGGTTTTACGCCGCTTTTAGCAATTTGCCAGCAATATCACTGCGGGGGACACCAGAAATGGGCTTCACACATTGTACCCATATGGGGAATCGAACCCGGATCTACGAAGTAACGTGTAGACGCCTTAATCACTAGGCCACCCCACCGCACCTTTGCAATAAGAACAGGTGTATTCATTTAAAGTTGTTTTGTTTTTTATTCCAGCAAACAGGATTTGGTACTTTCAATATTTGACCTGGTTGAGTCGTTTTGGTACCCACGCTGGATGCCAAAATCAAACACTAAGAAGGCTGATTTTTATGGAATCCTGGAAGGGACATTGTCGCGTTGTCGCCCTCTCAAATAAAAGCAAAATGAGGCAAAATTAACCAAAGCGCGACAATGCGACATTTCGCCCATATGTCGCGTTGTCGAGTTGTCGCCCTTTTCTATTACCGGTGCGCATATGTAGAAAGTCAATTAGTCTACGCATGCGCAGAAAATGTTATACTCTATTTCAGACTTCACTGGTCTTTTGTTACCTCCAAAGGTTTTCAAAATGAAGAAGTGCTCGTAATGGGAATGGTGGCTGTTTTCTTGAACTTAATGCAAATCTTTCATTGTTGCTTTATTATTTTATATATTGTAAATGTATTTAGCAACTATTCATTGTAATCATTGTAAGAGTTGTGTCTCCTAGTCACACCAGATAACTATGATCATAGGTTCGAATCTCAGCACCATATACATTCATCACGTTGGACATTTCACCGATATCAAGCTGACACGTTGTGAAAAAAACTAAATATTGTTAAAATTCAGACCACATCGGCCTAAACATCAGGTGAAGTCCTCGAATGGGTCACTGTGTTCAACAGTTTGGCTCCTGACAGAGTTTCTTGGTACAGTACTGTCCGATGATGTCGGACAAATTCATCAGCGATGTGGTCTGAATTTTAACAATGTTTAGTTTTTTGTGGTGTGACTAAGAGACACAACTCTGCAAAGCAAATTGCCTCGCCTTGAATGACAGGGCCACCGTGTGCCGTGATTACAATGATTAGTAGCGTTAATAATCTGTCTTGCTTCTAAAACACACTTGATTGGCTAAATACATTTACAATATATATTATAATTTTCAAAGCAACAATGGAAGATTTGCATTAAGTTCAAGAAAAGCAGCCCTATAACCATTACGAGTACTACTTCATTTTAAAAACCATTGGAGGTAACAAAAGACCACTGAAGTGTGAAATAGAGTATAACTTTTCCTGCCAATGCGTAGACTAATTGACTTTCTACGCATGCGCACCGGTATTCAAAAAGGGCGACAACGCAACATATTAAATATGTAGCATTGTCGCGTGTCGCGTTTGACTCAATTTTTTAGTCTTTTTACGCATCTTAGATAGGGCGACAACGCGACATATTTTGACCTTGAAAATTGTCGGTTTGTCGCGTGTCGCCCTTTGGAGGAATAGAAAAATATTACTCAAAACGCCACATGCGACATCGCGACAATGCGACAAATGGGCGAAATGTTCCATTGTCGCGCTTTAGTTAATTTTGCCTCATTTTGCTTGTTTTTGAGAGGGTGACAATGTCCCTTCTCGGATTCCATAGACTTTACCTGCTTTTGACTCCTTTTTCGTATCTTCTTTCACACATTCGGTGGCTCCTGATCTGGTACGAAGACAAACGTGATGCTGTGGGCACTGCTCACAGAGATGTTGCTGAAATGAAAAAGTCAAGTATCAGACGCCCTTTTTCAATGTGTAGAGATTCCATTGTGTTTGGCTTCAAATGAGCATCTATTTGTTTGTAAAATGATTCTAGAGTTGAGGATATGATCATTTGATATTCTGTGTTAACAATTCTAATATGACAGAAATGTGTATGGAAGAGCCTCCCAGAAGGAAGAGCCACTACTGAAACAATCAGTGGCGACACCAGAGGTTTAGCTAGGCATGTCCTGCTCTACCTATAGCAGCCACCAATACTCCCACTAAACGACGCCGGCCTGCAAACATCAGCGAAGGAACTAAACAATCCAGTTATCATGAATGAGTGAGTGAGTTAATATTTAACGTCACATCGGCAATATTTCAGCGATAGCGTGACGAGAACAATTTATATATTAATATTTTAATCAGTAAGTTTAGAACGAAAAATCTGTCATCGAAGAACACTAAAACTACTAAAGCATCACAGTTCTTATCTTAAAACTAGTATGCTATCATAAAAGGATATCACTATAGACAATAATACAATATAAAAACGGACAAAAAGATTACAAGCAACTGAAGGCTGATCTCCATACTAGGGACCATTGGGACTTACAGTACTTTAGCTGTCTGCATGGACTCTAGCTGGATCTATATGAGACCTTCAGTCGGTGGTTATTGTAGTCAAATTTAGCCATAATGAAAGTGACAAAGATACTATGTTTAAAAATCTGGTGAGATTAAATTTCCTTTGAATATTTCAGGCATTACGTACCCTCTGATGAGGACAATAATTTTACCCCTTTTGAGGACACAGTTGATAATCTAAACTACCAATTATTAAACATTTATCTATTTACAAAACATCTACTGAACCGAAAAAGAAATGTCACTTTCCAAAACCAATGCATAATTTTGTTCTTGCTAGGTGGTGTTTTTATTATGAATGTACCGTTTTGTTAACATGTCTTTCAATCCAAATTGACAGTTATTGTCAACACCACTGTGTTTTCTGATGAAAAAGCATACCTTAAAAGCACACCTAAAAAGGCAAACGTGGTAAAAGGTTCCGCATGACATTCCTGAAAATGAAAATACACGTGCATATCGTGACAACCCTACCAATGAAAGCGAGTGCTAAACTCGCCGGAAATCATTCTTGTTTTGACACAATCGCCATGCCATGGCTTACCAGAGATCAGAGGAACCAAGCCTTAGGACGATTGCAAGTTGGCCAGACTGTAAGGAGGGTATCATTTTAATGTTCATGTTAGGACAATCTTCCGACTGCAGGAGCGGCATCAGGCCACTAACAGCATCCACGATCATCAGTAACATCACAACCAGAAGACCGATAGATCGCTTCACCAGAGCGACGGAAACAGCACGCCCGACCATTGGGACTCACAACAGATCCCTTTGTGTCGATATAGTGCGTCGACGTTTGCGCGGAAGAAACCTCTGCTGTCACAGACCATATCCTGGTCCTGTCCTCACCAATCGTCACCGCCTGCAAACCGGTGCAACGGCCAATTCAGCATCGAAATTGGCGTTATCGACAATCGATAACTAGGCTTTTTTTCTGATGAAAGCCGTCATTGTGTTTTGACAGCCTATGGCAGAGTGAGAGTATGGCGAAGGCGTGGGGAACGGTTTAACAGTTAGTGTGTTGTTGGAAGAGACTCGTGGGTTGTCCAAACATCATGGTGTGGGGTGTAATCGATCTGAACCAAAGAGTTGGCCCAGTCGTGTTCCAGAATCTCGATCCAGAACGAGGAAATAGCGTGACACCAGCTCTCTATATTGACCAAATCATAGGACCCCTCATCGTACCACATTTTGGACGTCACAGAAATCACATCTTCCAGCAAGACAACGCTCAAGCCCACATTTCCGGAGCAACATTGGACTTCTAAGAAGAACATGGCATCGAAACCCTACACTGGCCTGAACTCAAGTCCAATAGAACACCTTTGGGACGAGATTCAAAGAAGATTAAATGACCTCCAAACAAGGCCGACAACTGTGGCTGGGCTCGATCAGGCATTTCGCAAAGTATAGTGCTTATGGCCTCCATCAACCGTCTTATTCATTCATGTACAGGCGATGCAACGCTGTCATCGATACCCATGGATACCCACGATACTGACTTTGAGGTATCCTAATTTGTACCATTTCTGGTGATTTTGTTTGTGTGACCTGTAAATGTAATTCCCGAAAATGTGTTTAACCATACTTGTCAAGTAGGAACTCAATCCTCCGTTTTGATTGTTAATTAAAGCGAATTCAATTGTGCGCTTTAAGAAACCTCCACCGGTGTGGCGTTTCTTTTGCGTTTCAGTATATATTAAATTTTATCTAACAATTCCATTTCTTTTAAAAATGCAATTATTAAATGTAAATTCACGTTAAAAAGATCCTTCAATTTAATCAAGCAAGTCATGCTTGACTGTGATTGTTTCATTACCAGGGTGAGGTGAGGTGAGGTGAAATTGGGTTTAACATCGTGCTTGAGAATATTTCGCTCATATGACGACGTGCATGCGTGTGTATGTGTATGTGCGGGTGCTTGTACTAGCCCAAACTTAAACTGGTTTTATAGTGTTAGCCCACTGAGATACCACGCCGCAGTGAAGCATGAATACCCCACTCAGACACAGTATACTGACTCCGAGCCGACCTGTCCTTGTTGTACCCATTAATGCCGAGCGCCAGGCAGACAGCAACAAGTACCATATTTTAACGTCTTTTGGTATGACGCGGTCGGGCATCGAACCCGCGACCTTCCGCTCTACGGGCGGACGCTCTAACCACCACACCACGGAGGCGGTCCCTCATTACCAGGGATGCAAAAAGGAGGATCTGCACCTTTTAACAAGTATTCGCGTGTATATCGCGTATGGCCAATGCGACGTCGTCGCACAATGACCTCTTCAAATCTGGATTGACAACCAAAGTTGGGGTAACCAATAGTTGGTTTAATTTCATGTAACTTATTCATACCTATTTGGATGTTCCAGTTCTTCTGCATTAGATCACAGATATTTGTTCTAATGACAGCTTTATAATCAGAATATGAGATCAGAAGTGGTGTCACAGATTCGTTGAGTGTGCCTTTGCAGCAAAATCGGCCATTGTGTTTCCGGAAATTCCAATATGACTGGATAACCAACAGAGGACGATGTCGCATTGGCCGGGTGCAAGGTCATTATATAATTCAATAATATTAATTAAAAGTGGATGTTTACAAGATAAATGTTTCATAGCCTGAGGGCATGACAGAGATTAAGAAAAGATTATTTATTGATTATATTTAGGGTGCTTTTAAAATATATTTTATGGCTGTTAATATGTCGTTTGCTTCGGATGTGAAAACTGAACTGTGATCTGGTAATAGAGAAGATATTGTTCTGGATTCAATGACAGTTGCACAAGCCACTGCGCCACCATCCTTGTATCCATCTGTAAATAGGGTTTTGAACGTGTTATATTTGGTTTTCAATTGCTTAAACTATTGTTTACATTGTAATCCATTAGATTCTGATTGTTTAAATGTTGTAAGTGGTAGGTCGACTTCTGGCCTCACTTATTGCCAAGGAGAAGAAAGAAAGCGGGAAGGAGATACATTATCCAGCTCAATGCCAGCAGCTCATAACCCTAGAGATGGAACAAGAGAAGATTTCTTGTTGTACAAATCCACATAGGGGGAATTGAAGACAGAGTTATAAGCAGGATTTGACTCGTTAGAATATAGTTTGGTTATATACTGTAAAGCTAATCTTATATGGCGATGGTTAAGAGATGGCTCATCGGGCTCAACGAAGAGACTGTGAACAGGCGAAGTTCTAAAGCACCCAAGACAAAGTCTTAGACCTTGGTGATGGATCGTACTAAATGATCAATTGTACTATGGTTTTTGCTTTTCCAGAAACCACATTGTATACTGAGTCAAAAAAGAAACTTCACATTCTTTCTTCAGGGCACTATAAAAGAACAAGAGATGGTAAGATGGTTAAATTGTTATTATTTCATTGCTGACATCTGTGTGATGTACTCGATACACTGACAGTGCCATAATCAGTTCCATTAGGCTACACCGCCGTTCCAAAACATGGGTATACAGAATGTCAAGTCACAAGAATAAAATGCGAAATTTCTCAGTTCAATATCGTGTATGGCCGCCCCGCGCATTCACCACTGCCAAACACCGTCTCCTCATCGACTGCCTGATGCTTGTGAACACGTGGTTGGGGATTCTGCGCCATTGCTCTTGCAAGGCAGCGCCAAGTTCCTGCAAATTCTGAGGTTAGTTCCTAAGACCACGAAGCCCTCTCCCAAGTGCATCCTAAACGTGCTCTATTGGATTAAGGTCAGGGGACCTCGATGGCCAGTCCATGACGTTGATTCCAGCGTTTTGAAGGAATTTTCGTGTCAACATCGCGGTATGCGGCCGAGCATTATCATGCTGGAACTGTAGACCTGGGCCATGAGCCGCCATGAAAGGAACGAGATCAGGGGTGAGCACCTGGTTGCGGTAAGCAGCAGCTGTGAGGTTTCCACGGATGACCAGTAGTCGGGAACGGTTGTTCCCACAGAAAGCACCCCACACCATGCAACTTCCGCCCCCGAATCTGTCGACTTCCTGTACACAACATTGGGCATACCGTTCACGAAGTCGTCTCCAGACTCTATGCCTGCCGTCCGCGAATCTGAGGGTAAACCTGGATTCATCGCTAAAGACGACTCGATTCCAGTCTCTCTGGGTCCA